GTTAATGTTCGTGTTCAGCTGCTCATAACATTCGTCTTCCGACTGCTTCAAACATCACGAAAACTGATTTTGGACGCAACGGCCTCACAAGATTTTCTGACTGGGGTTGCGAATAGCGGGAAAATTAATCATTGCGAAAATGTAGCTTTATTTCTTCTTTTTTATATATTGCGCACCAGTGCACAGCCAATACGTTAATCTCACCCTACGGCACCCGTGGAAATTTTGCGTCGGCGCCGTGTGGTGTAGAACACACGGTCATATCTAGTGCAGGGGGCCACAACACCAGGAGGGTGCTTCTGCCCACTTGCCATCAGCAGGTTGTCTCGTTCATCACAAGGGGGCTACGAAAACCGGGCCATTGTTCCATTGTCTGTCAAGCGAGTAGAATTCAACGACCGTGCTACTTAATTCACGGGTAGCCGGTTGAGGTTGGAGGGCTTTACTCAATAAGTACCCATAGTGTTGAAAAGCAGAGGTGTGGTGTGAAGTGGGTTCAAGCTCTCTTCTTCTGTAGATGAAGTTTGAAATGTTGTGCCAAGGCTAGGAGCTGCAAAACAAGTCAAACAATTTTAAATGCGACCAACGCAGGGTTAATTTTACCAAGTGATCACAACTGACAATAACAAATCAGCCTGAATATGCACAATATTTCCTGCATTCGCTTCTTCCTAGACTAGTGTAACTCGTCACTCTCACCTTGACCCCTCCTCAATGGCCGTCCCCCAATCTCTCACCTCCAAACTGCAAATTATCCAGAAGGCCATCACTCATAAAAGAAACCACATCAACCCAATCCTCTCCACTGACTCCAGTCAATCCAAAATACTCCACGGACTCCTCCCTCCTCCCCGCCAACTTCTCCCCTCTCATCACACTCTACTTCCCACCATGTGCTCGCCACTCCAGTATCCAGGGCACTCTGTCAAAACTCTCACTTGTATTGATGTCCTTGCCTTTTTGTTGTTGCTGTACTCGCACACCACTGATTTCCCTCGTAAAATAGCAGGGCGATTGGCTAAACGGGACCATCTGTATAACGAATCAAATACACTAAAATTCGGTGAACCTCCGCTCAGTGGTGAGTTGCTCAGTGGTGAGTTGCTCATCCTGCTGGAATTCACTTCTCCTGATCGCAGGGGCAGAGAAAGGAATTTTGACTTTGGCGGGGCTGACTTCAATATTCTGAGATGTCCAGTGTAATGTTTTCCAATGGGCGCCACAAATGTATAAAACTAATTTTATTGGATTTGAACGCAGAGTTTATTAATAGGTCGGAGCCGCTGATGTGACTAATAAGTTCAATAAGTTCGAAAGGCTGCCGCTCAAGCAGCCTGCAGGGCAGTACACAAGGTGACAGCCTGCAGGGCAGCACACAAGGTGGCAGCCTGCAGGGCAGCACACGAGGTGGCAGCCTGCAGGGCAGCACGAGGTGGCAGCCTGCAGGGCAGCACACGAGGTGGCAGCCTGCAGGGCAGTACGAGGTGGCAGCCTGCAGGGCAGCACGAGGTGGCAGCCTGCAGGGAGCACGAGGTGGCAGCCTGCAGGGCAGCACACAAGGTGGCAGCCTGCAGGGAGCACGAGGTGGCAGCCTGCAGGGCAGCACGAGGTGGCAGCCTGCAGGGCAGCACGAGGTGGCAGCCTGCAGGGAGCACGAGGTGGCAGCCTGCAGGGCAGCAGCACGAGGTGGCAGCCTGCAGCATTTTGCAGCAGCCGGATGTCCGGTTATCTGGATTACCGACTTTCCCAAAATTTCAGGGGGGGCTAAGCCCCCCCCAGCCCCCCCCCCCCGTAGCTCCGCCCCTGCCTGATCGCACCTGTGCCATTCAAGTCAAGACTTAAGGCCGCCTCCTTTTCTGCCTATGACCGACCCTCTGATACATATACAGTATATGAAACAGCTTTCTAATATTCTTGGTTCTTTCGGTAAAGTCACGTAGAAGGGAAACAATAACATAATAAAAATATAAAACAATAAAATTCTCAAGACGTTTCGCTTTCTGTTACACAAAATACATCTTCCCCATATGTTGCTCGACTCCTGTGATGCGCATCCTACTTTATGTTCAGCGCCTTGAGATGCAGCTGCATTTATGTGCTCAGTAAATACCAAAGTGTTACGATTCCACCGGTCAGTTATCAGCAATGCTAACTGTACAACGCAAGTTAACAACTACATTTCCATGCAATCAATGCCCGATTCAGTAAGCTGCCCTCTATCTTGCAACGTGTCCCACCCATCGCAAACTTTTCTCCCTCTGCCTCAATTATTATTTGTTCCACATTAGTTACGCTAAACCTTCCACGAAGTTTCGTTCGAACCTTTCATGTAAACCTATAAAATTGCTTATCGCGATTAGCTCGCTGGTATTCAAACCGTAACCAATAACTTAATAGAACTGAAACGGACGGCCATACAATGACAACTGTTCTGCAATGTTTACATGAGGATGTCTGCACACTGCAAATAAGTGACACACCGCCTCGCAATTCAGGGGTCAAGGCTTTACGCTATGGAGCCGCATAAGACCTTGTGAGCAGAATCTAATAAAATTATACATTAAAAAATTCCAACAGGCAGACTCATAGCCATCATAAAAAGTTATGCAATTAAGCTTAGAAAACGTTTTATTTTTGTGCAAATATCGAAATACTCAAGGGAAAAATTGGCAGGCACGCTCTTATGTATTTCACAAGTGTGGATTTGAAGTTTCAAAGCACTCCTGTGCCTGAAGGCAAGTTTAATAAGGCCCTGCTTGTGTGTACCTGCATTAGCCGGTGCAACAATGATGCAGATCAGCAGGAATCCCGCAGAGAATACGCATTTGATCCAATGTCCATTGCGCCCCATGGCAATATTTTCCCTAAGATGTTGGCACACATAACAGCTCAAGACAAGCAGTCGACAATGTGTTAGTGTTCAAAGTTTGAGTTGTTTCAACAGGAAATGCAACATCACAGAAACAGTTCGATACATTGTCCCTTTACTTCAAAGTAATTTTGCTTACAACCAAACAAACCCCACCTAGTGTCCTACAGATACTGCGTAGTACTGCTATGCACGACAATCAAATATACAAAACACTCGTCATCAGTCATGCAGGCACATATCTATACACATTTTCTAGACTGCTGCTTTCGCGTGAAGATAAAAATAAGAGAGCTCTTACCATGCGCGGGATGTGGGTTTGCTGTGGCGTTCTCAGATCCACTCTGGGCTCCCAAAGGCTAATCACACACGTGTTTGCCCAACCTTCCCCATGTGCCCCCCCCTCCTCCCCCCATCAAACAACACAGCAAGGCAATGATAAGAATTCGGCCTTCTGGCTTCCCAGAAATTGCAGCACAACGCATAAAAAGGATGCTCGCTGTGGAATGCTGTCGCTGGTTCAATTCTGCGGGCATTGGCCACAGTAAGCATTTTTTTTAAATACAGACTTAAGAATCAGAATCTTTACTTATACTGGGAGGAATCTGATGAACTATGAAGCTCTTTTTCACAGACGCTCAGTAGGGGCGGGTCAGAAAGTTACAACAGTAAGCAAATGGAAAAAAAAACACAATAAGAGTGCAAAGTAACGGTAAACCAATCACGACAAAAAATGTATTTTACCAGCTAAAGCCCAACTCGGCTATCAGGTTCTTTTTCAGAAGCGACCTGGCCACAAATGATAGCTCAACATGTGGAAATGTATTGCAGCAAAACTCCAAACGCACGTCGACTCTAAATGTGGGGGGAAATAAACCAGAGGACTCGGGAGGAAAAAAGAAAAATCCACGACAATGGCGAGAGACACGCAACCTCCAGATGTACGGGCGTCAGGGTCGGGATCGAACCCACGACTCCCTGCATACCCAGCGATCTTGCCACCTTAGCGCTCCTTTACCTATAGAAAAAAAAGTATACAAGTTCAAATTGCATAAGGATTAACCAAGGGTGGTTGCTGGCGAGGTAACAAACGAGAGGTGACAACGGTATGTTGCAATTTTACCATTTATTGGCTCAACAGGTGGTGCTTACATAAATGACGCGTTTTATACATTGAGGAAGTGAAATTACTTTAATTGTCTTAACCCATTTAGTATTTCTGGGGATTTCTTCCCAACCCTTAATTCAGTGTGCACTTTGTTTCAAATAAACCTTGCTGTTTAAAATTGTCGCCGTTCAAGAAAACTCACACATTATGTTACTCGAGGGCATAGGTTTTCGTGACAAATATAATTCGTAATAGAATTTTGGGTTAGGCCACGGAAGAATTTGACCAAATGTGCGTTGTGAAATACACAAACATCTCGATAAAGCCAACCAAACAAATTAATGTATCACGTGTACAAGCGTTTTAATGATACACAAATTATGATTCTTTTATTATGGGACCTCCTTTGCCAATAACAAATATACGATAATAGGATTTTCCCTTTTTTCTGGCAACAAAACAGGTGTTAAGACGTTAAAACACCAAACTGAAACCTTTTACAAGGAATGTCTACATTAACTACAATGCTTGTGGTCAGATGCAAACAAAAAACACTCTGATATTTAACAATGCATATATTATTCTTAGTTTTTTCGGTAAAGTCACGTTGAAGAGAAACAACAAAATATATATAAAACAATAAAAAATTCTCACGACGTTTCGACCATAACTCAAACGGTCATCATCACGGAACCTGATGATGACCGTTTGAGTTATGGTCGAAACGTCGTGAGAATTTTTTTTATTGTTTTATATATATATATTTTGTTATTTTGTTGTTTCTCTTCAACGTGACTTTACCGAAAAAACTAAGAATATGAATTACTGCAGTCACGAAAGCTTTAAATCAAAATTTAAATGCATATATTATCAGAGCATGTTTTTTGTTTGCATTCTGACCACAAGCATTGTGGTTAATGCAAACATGATTCTCTGTAAAAGGTTTCAGTTTGGTGTTTTAACATCTTAAGACCTTTTTTTGTTGCCAGAAAAAAAGGGGAAAACCCTATTATCATATGATTATTTCAGCTCACTAGCAAGTTGGAAGAGCAACACATTTCACAAAAGACATGACGCTCATTTTTAATTACTGTCTTACATTCGGATTCCAGCATTTAACATAAAAAGTGTTAAACCCATAGATATTCTACAGTACATCTCACAAATTCTGTAGCTCTTTACAAAATTTACATGGAAAGCAGTTATACATCGGCGGTCACGTTTCAATTGCTGACCGTGTAATAATACAAAGCACAATAAAGTACAATGAAAATTTAATTGATGTCATCCGATGGGACAGAAACCAGCTTCTGCCATGAGAACAGCTACTTAACAAAAAGTGCCAAAGAACACAGTGCCCATCTTACAATTAAAAAAATAATAAAACAAGCCAACGTTGTTTCAGGAAAAGGTTATTGTTCAGAAGAGCTAATGCCTAAATAATTAGCATATTACTGTTTATATTTCTCATTTATACGGCAGCGCTTGTTATGACGACGTTGGGAAAAGCATTCGGAGTCTGTAGTTTCTACACAGGCGCCAGCAGTCCCTTGGGTATTTGGAACAGTACAGAGTATTGCAGGTTTTATACACGCAAATGTTTTTAGTGCAACAAACAAAAAAGCAAACATGACCAAAAACACTACGCACCCCGGATGCCCTACGGTCAGCCACATCTGTTAGCGCAGGAAGAATCCCCCAAACCCTCCCAACCCAGGGCCAGGATTTAATCGAGGTCGGCGAGACCCCGAGGGGTCGGTTGGGTCAAACCTCCAGCGCGGCGGCTGCCTCTGCAACAGCGGACCCACAGGGCCGCCCGACAACCCGAAGTCGGGCCAGACGTCGTAGGCACCCCCGATGATACCGGGGGGGTAGGGAGGCCTGGGATGGTTTGGTGCAAGCGGAATTGGATCTTGCATGGGCCACGGTTGCACGAGCACGTTTCGCCTTTCGCGCTGTGCCCGCATCTTCAGCTGGTACTGCTCGATGTAGAGCTGTTTCACACAACGACACGTCGACAGGGTTGACACGATGTCGATGCCACTCGGATGAAGTTCATCGAGGTTATAAGTGCCGTGCGCTCGTGCTCAGGGTCCGCGAGCTCTCTCAGGGGCTCTCCATGTTTACTAAGGAATATGGTAATTGTATTGTTCATGTATTTGCAAACAGAAGCAAAATGTTAATGAACGAATTCAGTGGCGATGCTGCTGTGCAACAAAAAGACTTAAGTTTGACAACTGCTGTGAATGTATTGTGAAGGAAGGGAATGCACACATTTCACTTTGGAACACATACACACAACACAGATGCAAGTACAGACACATTTAGATCTTATGGCCATGATTCACATCGATATGTCAGAGCATAATTAACATCTACAAACTCAAAACCATTTAACAGAAACCAACACACACAGCTTGTGTAATAATTTGAAGTAAACAGTCATGAACCTCTATCGCAATGTAAATACTATGATGCCAAGGGTTGAGTCAATGTTTATTGAAGAGAACTGAGCATGATAATACCTTTTTCCAGTCTGTGCCCGGCTTGTCAATTCTGGATTCTAAAAAAACAAAATCAAACCATTAAATTATACATGTACATTACATACAAGGGGCAAGCAGTAACGCGTTTTACCGGTTATTGCAGAGGTTTGTGGTTTGAGCCCCATCGCCACCCTGGTTAATACTGTGGTTGTACGAATCGTAAATCCGTGCCCTCTGCTTCACAATGTCCGCGGCCTCAGTGGCCGTTAAGGATCCCGTGGTGCAATTCGAAATAGTGCACTGTTGTGATGTTTGATTCCTAAAATTAAACGTTTGTTGCTCGACAGACAATTTGATGAGATTTACAACTTGTTTTCCAAGGGATCCAAATTGTAAATAACCCCAAAGTAGAAAGATAGCAGGCCTAAACGATGTTGACCCAAATAATCTACAAGGGCAACATACTATGAAAACAATGGAAAAATCCACATAAGGATGAGAGGGAGGAGGCAAGCTTCCAATGTACACGTTTGAATTCAGTACCTTTACTTATGCTTGGGTGACAAAACGATGGAGCCGTTTTGCAGAGCTAAATAAAAGCACGAGTGTGACGGAACGACACCCCCTCCTCTTACCACATCACACTCACATGTATGGCTGCAGTGAATGGATGCAACTATTAGTAATATGGGAACGATACAAAAATATATATGTCGATTTCATTTTCGTCTGCAGGACAGCATGATGGGGGTCTGTGCCGAGTGGACGAGAGGAGACCCATCTGGGGTTAAGAGACCAAGCGTGGAAGAGTACGAGTTGGCACGGTCTGGGGAACGACGTGACGAATGAGTAGTTAAATTTTGATTTAAAGCTTTCGTGACTGCAGTAATTCATGTTCTTAGGTCTTTCGGTAAAGTCACGTTGAAGGGAAACAATAATAATATATATAAAACAATAAAAATTCTCACGACGTTTCGACCATAACACAAACGGTCGTCATCAGGCGACGACCGTTTGTGTCATGGTGGAAACGTCGTGAGAATTTTTATTGTTTTATATATATTTTATTATTTATTGTTTCCCTTCAACATGACTTTACCGAAAGAGCTAAGAATACGAATGAGTAGTTGTAAATCGAAGTCTGACATCTCATGTGCTGCTCGCCGCCTGTTAAATATTCAACTGGTGTTAGGACTGATGAGGTTGAGGGAAGGCAAAAAACCTTCCACTGCAAAACACACAAATGCGCTGCGTGTGTTGAAGGGGGGTGTAAAAACCAAAAAAACTACTCCACTATGAAAATAACAATTTTCTGTGATGTTTGCCATCTCCCTGTAAAAACGTTGGTCCTCCTCTAAAAGAGTCTTGTTGTGAGCCTTTGATTACTGATATTTACAAGTACAACTGCAATCGTTATTTTCTCGACATTGTTGGGGGTTAGGTGGATAAACTCCCGATTGATAAATTCAGCATGTGTGCGAGTTTACTCCGATCACAAAAAAAGCCAAAGATACCCTGTATCGTCTTAACAGACTGTTGGGGAAAGTGCTGTTCGTGAGCACCTGGCACAGCACACGAGGGGGAGGGAGGGTGGCCATCACCATGCCCTGTTGCCTTTGTCTCCCTAGTGGTGATGTGCTCATTTGAGGCCGAGTCGACCTAGGGGAGGTCCGGGATTGGTTCAGATAATCGTCACTGGTGTTGGCCGTGAGCAGGAATCTAACTCGGCCCGACGGATTCGCAGAGCGCTAACCGCTACACTGCCGCTCCCCACACCCACAGCAACCACATTTCAAATAACCATGACTCAATTGGGAAAACACAGCAATCATCGCCCCCTACTGCAAAACTACTGCAGACTCTGTGAAAAAAATAACGTCTTCGCGATTTGCCTTGCGCTATAAGAACGGTACACATGCCAAATGCACAAACGATTTGATGTAAAAGCATCTATTCACCGCAATCTGGATAATTTCCACATTTCTGCGAATCAAAAAAGCAGGACTTCGATGCGACCTCGCATTCAGGTGTGGCACGGGGGCCTTTCATTCGAGTTGCACAAAGCTCGGCTAGGTCTACGCCGCACGCAGAGAGAAGCGAGAGAGCTCGTACGGTGGAAGTCTCGTATGTAGAGCGAGCGCCACAGCGATGGGTCCGTGCCAAGCAGGCACAGGGCACGGCATGCCTGCGCAGCGGCGAGCACGGCCGGGATGGGCAGCAGGCGCAGCACCTGCAACTGCAGCTCCACGGGCAGCGCCAGGAGGCCCACAGCACATGGCAGCCCCAGCGCTATAGACCACGAGATGGAAATGAGAGCCACGGGCGATTCATCATCATCATCATCATCTCCGCTTCTTTTCAGAACAAGTCATTATCTTGTACAAAAAAAAAAATTCGATTTAAAGCTTTCGTGACTGCAAGGATTCATCTTCTTTGGTTCTTTCGGTAAAGTCACGTAGAATGAGAATAAAATAATAAATTGATAAAATAAAATAACACAATAATATTCTCACGACAGCGCTGTCCTACCAGACAGTCTCGTCCCTTCACCTGATGAAGGCCGCTTGTGTTGTGGCCGAAACGTCGTGAGAATATTATTGTGTTATTTTATTTTATCAATTTATTATTTTATTCTCATTCTACGTGACTTTATCGAAAGAACCAAAGAAGACAAAAAAAAACCTCGAGATTCAGCGCGTATATTAACAATGGTCCTGCTTTCAACATTTTACACATTTCTTATTATTGAATCTGTAAGGAAACTGGAGAGCAAGAAGACCCACACATTTGAGATGACATTTGCTAAGATCTACTGCCTGCCGTTTGTCTTGAATGGGATTTTTTTTCCTCCCTCCATCGCCCATTCTTATATGTCCTTTGTAAACATGATAGGCCATTAGATTGTACCTTGTCTCATGAGTGCCAAGGCTGGGTATGCTACGTGGTCCTTAAAGGTGCGGGAGAGCAGAGAAAGAGCTTTGTAGGCGTGCGAGGCCTCCTTTGCTGGGGCTGCAGAGACAAACGTATGGACACACGGGCGCACGCAATCACACATGAATAGTCAGTGCACGTGGATTTGTGAAAGGTTGGGACAGACACCCTCAACAAGGCCATATATACAAATATATCTCCACAAAGCTCCCCCGTATAGCATTTAACAGGCTGTTGGGGCAAGTGCTGTTAGCGATGAGTAGCTACATGAATGCCAGCACGGCACATGAGGGGCGGGCGGCAGCACCACGCCCGGCCGCCTTTGTCTCCCTAGTGGCGATGATTACACAATGCACCAGGTACTCATTTGAGGCTGAGTCGACCTAGGGGAAGCCCAGCACGAGTTGAGATAATTGTCACTGGTGTTGGCTGCGAGTGGGAATTAAACTAAGGTTGTCAGGTTCGTAGGGCAGCGCACTAACCGTTACAACACTACCCGTCCCCCACATATATATTACACACAGTATGACACACATACTGCACATCACCTCTAGGCACATGCCACGAAAGGTACATTCTTCTCACCGAGCGAGTGAAAATATACATTTATGACCATTTACTTGACATGTTAAAGCAAGTTCAGGACAGTATGCCATAAAACGTTGAGACTCAAATTTGCGAGCGGAAAAACAATTAATTAAAAAATCGCTAAAAATGCAAGCATGCCCCTCTGTGGATATTTTATAGCCCGAATTTTAATTAATATGTAATGGGAATTGGCTGCGAATTAAGGCACCGTATGTTGCAGCCTTTCAAACTTGACATGCGATATGGGAGTGTAATGCGGAACATGGATATAAAAAAAGCGAATTCTAACATCTAGTAATAATGTACATACACGTCAGTAAAACAAATAAACAGGTAAAACATCACACAACCATCACTATGCGTTGCTAACAATATTTTATCTTTAACTTGTACATCACTTCTAAATATAACACTATTTACTCTGCACCTTGCGCCTCAACATCCTCCATCTTTTCTCCTTTAACTCGTGCAATGGCCTCAAGTCTTAACTGTGTCCAAAAGCATCTTAACTGTCGACTCCACTTTCTTAACCGACTCCACCGTCCGCTTGCGACTCAACTCCCTCATTCCTTTCACCCGGCACTCATTCAACCTGCGAACCTCCACCCAATCTCGAGTCTAAAACAGGAGCATGTGCAACAATCTTACGCGCTTCACATCATCAGAATTTACCTGCGCCTTTGCCGAGAACATACGCCGATGGCATCAACTTGAGTGCGCTTATGCTTAACGTTGTTCCCGACGCGTTCACGCAGCCTGCAGGAAAAACAATAGAAAAATCACCAATGCACCCACACAGTCCAGAAATAGCACAATGCCGAAGTTAGGTAAACGGGCAGCAGAGTGGCAGTGTCGTCGTTTAGAATGAAAAAAAAGTCACTTCACAGGTTGGGTAAAAAATTTTTGCAATTCTGTCGTGAAAAAAGGTAAGGGGTCAGCCCTGCAATTGCTTCATCAAGCCACTGCTTGCAGAAGGGAATCCACTAGAGGGAGAGCACAAGAGAGACCCCCTCTAGAGCAGGGGTCCCCAAACCCCCGGGCCAGGGACCGGTACCGGTCCGTGGCCTGTTAGGAACCGGGCCGCACAGCAGGAGGTGAGAGCGGTGAGACCGCACGTGGAACCCGCCAATTATTTTATTATTCACCACTTCCATCGGCGCCTCGTTCCCGCACTGCGCACTTGTCTCAGTGACAGTGTTGGTAATCCCACAAGCTCTAACCCCTAGTAGCCACAATGAGTAAGCCCACAAGCTAACCCCTAGTAGCCACAATGAGTAAGCCCACAAGCTAACCCCTAGTAGCCACAATGAGTAAGCCCACAAGCTAACCCCTAGTAGCCACAATGAGTAAGCCCACAAGCTAACCCCTAGTAGCCACAATGAGTAAGCCCACAAGCTAACCCCTAGTAGCCACAATGAGTAAGCCCACAGGCTGACCACTAGTAGCCACAATGAGTAAGTCCACAAGCTAACCCCTAGTAGCCACAATGAGTAAGCCCACAAGCTAACCCCTAGTAGCCACAATGAGTAAGCCCACAAGCTGACCCCTAGTAGCCACAATGAGTAAGCCCACAAGCTGACCCCTAGTAGCCACAATGAGTAAGCCCACAAGCTAACCCCTAGTAGCCACAATGAGTAAGCCCACAAGCTGATCGCTAGTAGCCACAATGAGTAAGCCCACAAGCTAACCCCTAGTAGCCACAATGAGTAAGCCCACAAGCTAACCCCTAGTAGCCACAATGAGTAAGCCCACAAGCTAACCCCTAGTAGCCACAATGAGTAAGCCCACGAGCTAACCCCTAGTAGCCACAATGAGTAAGCCCACAAGCTAACCCCTAGTAGCCACAATGAGTAAGCCCACAAGCTGACCCCTAGTAGCCACAATGAGTAAGCCCACAAGCTAACCCCTAGTAGCCACAATGAGTAAGCCCACAAGCTAACCCCTAGTAGCCACAATGAGTAAGCCCACAAGCTAACCCCTAGTAGCCACAATGACTAAGCCCACAGGCTAACCCCTAGTAGCCACAATGAGTAAGCCCACAAGCTAACCCCTAGTAGCCACAATGAGTAAGCCCACAAGCTAACCCCTAGTAGCCACAATGAGTAAGTCCACAAGCTAACCCCTAGTAGCCACAATGAGTAAGCCCACAAGCTAACCCCTAGTAGCCACAATGAGTAAGCCCACAAGCTGACCCCTAGTAGCCACAATGAGTAAGCCCACAAGCTGACCCCTAGTAGCCACAATGAGTAAGCCCACAAGCTAACCCCTAGTAGCCACAATGAGTAAGCCCACAAGCTGATCGCTAGTAGCCACAATGAGTAAGCCCACAAGCTAACCCCTAGTAGCCACAATGAGTAAGCCCACAAGCTAACCCCTAGTAGCCACAATGAGTAAGCCCACAAGCTAACCCCTAGTAGCCACAATGAGTAAGCCCACAAGCTAACCCCTGGTAGCCACAATGAGTAAAAAAACAAACGTCGCTGGAGAGCTTCTTTGAAAAGGGGGAAAGACCCAATGATGAACTACCACCCCACGGTCCGTGAAAAAAATTGTCTTCCACGAAACCGGTCCCTGGTGCCAAAAAGGTTGGGGACCGCTGCTCTAGAGGATATCTGGCCTATTACTGCACCCTGGCCAGGCGTATTGGAAGACATGGGAGTATCCATTTTACCCACCACACGAGATCTGCCAATCACCTTTGGTGTACCCATTCATAATACTGCGTTGCCACGCCGGCAGATTAAGCCAGTGACCTCCGAATTGACAGTCCAGTGTGCTAACCATTCGACTAAAGGCACGGCAGCATCACACTAAACGAGAAATGCTATTAAAGAATGTGCACGCAATTGATTCCATTCTTTTTGCATGTGAAATTACACTCACCATTAACCACCAGAGCTTGGCCCATGGGGATGCAGGTGAGGTTACAGGTGGCACCATGGCAGAGAGGGTGGCTGTACCTTAATGTGTATACCCCGGGCCTTCTCCAGCCTCTAGGCAGGCCACTCGGGAGACTTGCTTGTGCCTGATGGCACTCTGCCCGATCCTTGTTGTGACAAAGAGAATGCAGTATGTAACGTACAGAACAACATTTAACTCATTATTGCACGCATTGTCATAACGTAAATAAAATCAGCAACGGCATTCAACGGGTGATTGGAGCACGAAATCAAGCTTTTGAATCATTTAAACTAATCAACCTAACAATGATGTCAAATCTCATATCCAGAGTAAGTTTGAGTACAAATGCTAAAACACACACAATACAGGAAATACCATGAACCTCAAATTTTTTTTATGAAAAAATGAAATGAAAGGTTGTTTAAAATCAGTATTCTATAAGTTAAAAGTTTTAATTCCACGAAAAAAGTTGAATTTATTTCATGCATAATGAGCATTGAGAGTTGGTGCTCATCTCCCGTTTACATCCCCGATGCGATTGGTGGGAATTACGCATTCCTGCAATGGTGCAATTCTATCCAGGACAACCACTGTTGTCTTCCCCACAAAGTGGTACTCATTCTATCGACCCTAAAAAGGGATGATGGGCCAAGTGAATCCCCAACCAAAACTTGAACTTGCGCTGAAAGCTGCTGGCTCTACCGCGGAGCCACCAGGCCAGGTGGATAAAAAAAAAATTTGAAAGGAATGACAACATCATTCACATGTCACGTCATCCCCCAGCGCCACCGATTAACACTGCTGGCTACGTACGGGTGAGAAAAACAGTTCAACAGTGCGTACAAACGCGAGGTTAAATGGCTAATCGGAGGCAGAATGAACCTGTGCGGCAGCTGCGAAGCCGGCTTCAATCATCAGCACATGCAGAACCACCGCGAGTGCGTCGCACTGGCTCGCCACGCCCGCCTGCTCGTACTCCCGCTCCAGCGCTTCAGGGACGCGGCCGCCCTCCGACTCGCTGCAGAGCATGACGAGAGGCGGAGGAGGGGGACCGGCAGCCGGAGACGCCCGCGTCCAGGAACCAGCGTCGTCATTTTCATTGGCACCGCTTGCGGACGGCAGGGTCTTTTGAGTGATCGCGGCACCTTTGCTTTGCTGCGCTTCACTCCCCGAAGGCGTTGCCACTGACGCAGGGAAGGCGGTGGGTGCATTTCCACGGAGTCTGCTCGTCAGGCCATGAGCATGGTCATCGCGGGCTCTTGAGGAAGTTGCACCAGCGCCGCACGTTGCAGCCGAGCCTGGACAAATGACAAAAAGTGCTGTCAGTTCAACACGTAGGCTTTCGCGACCAATTATTATGAAAAAGTGCTGTGCATGCAGTGTACCCTTTTCATTTTGGTGTTCGACAACACTATCCATGTCGTGTCACCATCACCGATAGGGCATCAGGAAGGTGCTAGCTGCACTATCAAGGCGACACCATCGATTAATACGTGGATGCTACAAAATATAACTTCGGTCTTGTTTTTAAACGGGGTAAATTCACTGGGAATAGAATACCTCACATTTCACGTGTGCTTTTCAGTGGGTTCATTAACTGCCGGAAACAGTAAAACACAAATTTGGCCATGACACAAAGTATATCGATGAAACTTTAGTTTTGGGATCTGAATATCCATAACAGATGGTGGTTCTTTGAGAAAAATAGAGTGTTCATGCTATACGATGATCCTCCGTAAACATTAGGCCATGACTAACCCACTGCTGAAGGCTTCCCCAAGCTCTCACCATCTTACACGATCCTATGCTGTAATAACCCACCTAGGATTTCCACACGAGCAGATTTCATTGCTCCATCTCCGCAGTGTACTTTTCTCGAGGGCACGTTTCATTCCTTGGCTGCAAAGCCATTATTATTATTATTCTCAACCATCAGCCATCGCCCTATCTAAACTAAACTGTTTTTATTGTACCAGGTAAGGCCAACTGAGCTACATGGCTCTCTTTCAGAAGCGACCTGCCCACAAATGACAGCTCAACGAAGTGGTTTATCATGTGGAAATGTATAGCAGCCAAATACTCTTAAACGCGTGTTGATTCTAAGCGTGGAGGGAAAAACCGGAGGACCCGGGAGAAAAATCCACGCAAATACGGGGTGAATATGCAAACTCCAAATATACAGCCGTCAGGGTCGGGATCAAACCTATGTCCTCCTGTATAGCAGGCAAGGTAGTTAACATCTTGCAAGGTAACCTGCCCAAACCCACTTTCTTAAGTTGTAATGTCATTAACATGCACATGTAATCAACGTGTTCCTGTCTCCGAATGCAATTCCAAACGTGTATCCCGAGATGGTTTTCACGCTTTTCGGTTCGATAATATTTTTTCGTCAATGAGAATGTTCCAATTCATGTCACAGCAGACAGTACACGCAGGAACATAATTAAATGCGCCTCTCCAAAAACTCCGCAAATAATGGCCAAAGCGGGGACGTCGATGCGCCAGTTGGAACCACCTTCCGCAAGAAGAATCCAAACGAGGTCTCCAGAGACGATGCCGTACTCCTGAAGAGGTGTCTCCCAATCACTGAGCACGTCTTTTCTATTCAGCGATATCTCAAATGCCGCATCTTGTCTGGGAAGCACATGTGTTGGAAGAGCGTTACAATTACGCGAACCTCAGATCCTCTCTGAAACCAGCCAGCAACCAACGATACTGGCATCATATGGCATCATAACACGACTGCAATTTAGGAGAACAATAAAAAAAGGACAAACAAAGTTAACCAAGCAAGCGGAAATATTTCCCTGGTTGCTGAATAGCTCGGTGCTTGCATTCCAAGTTTATCACATTTATAATCTCTTACGTACACATCAGAACGCATCGACACAACCAGTGGGCTCCGCGTAAGGATCCCCGTGGCAAATCGTCTTTACCCGATGTGAAAGCTGGCCAGGAGGTTGTCGCGTATTTGCTGCTGCAGCTGTCCCAGCGTGGCGCCCTCGTTGACTATTTCCAGGAGCTGAGTACATCCTCCGTGTCGCACGCGCAACTTCATTGCGACTTCTTTCTCCCACCTTAACGGACGCACATATCAAGACAAATGAGTTGTTTTCCTCTCTCCTGGGGGGGGGGGAAAAAAATATTAACCACGTGCAAAGGATACATTACGGAACCACTACTCATCTTCGAAAGACAATTCACTACTATCTAACAGGATGAAAAACGAAGTAGCCTCACAAACGCGACCTAAATATACGATTATTATTTTAGCCACTTAAATGTCCAAAATGGTTTATTGTTAAAGTTGACCTAGGCCTGGCTGTATCCACTGCACCTCGCGATGGAGTAATCAGTTAAAACTCATTGTCCAAGGAGGGAGTGATGCCCTATATTGGTGATGGAGAATTCGGCCAAAGGAGATCACTCGCCCGAGAGGGGAGATGGAACGACGGGATCAGCTCAAGCGCAGATTGATTGTGGCATCATCCAGCAGTAGATTATTGACCGTTATTATAGCATACCATACGATGTTGTGCAAACCCCGGAACAACATGGCCGTTGTATGTGCATATAACATTTAATTCATAGCCACAGTGTTAATTCACTGCAGGTTGAAGGCCTCCACAATCCGTGTCAGTTTACAGGGGTTGCCGACCACAACTAACATCACTCACCACCGACGTTAACCACGACTAACATCACTCGCCACCGACGTTAACCACGACTAACATCACTCACCACCGACGTTAACCACAACTAACATCACTCGCCACCGACGTTAACCACGACTAACATCACTCACCACCGACGTTAACCACGACTAACAACACTCACCACCAACGTTAACCACGACTAACATCACTCACAACCGACGTTAACCACGACTAACATCACTCACCACCGACGTGAGCCACGACTAACATCACTCGCCACCGACGTTAACCACGACTAACAACACTCACCACCGACGTTAACCACAACTAACATCACTCGCCACCGACGTTAACCACGACTAACATCACTCACCACCGACGTTAACCACGACTAACATCACTCACCACCGACGTTAACCACAACTAACATCACTCGCCACCGACGTTAACCACGACTAACATCACTCACCACCGACGTTAACCACGACTAACATCACTCACCACCGACGTTAATCACGACTAACATCACTCGCCACCGACGTTAACCACGACTAACAACACTCACCACCGACGTTAACCACGACTCACATCACTCACCACCGACGTTAACCACGACTAACATCACTCGCCACCGACGTTAACCACGACTATCACTCACCACCGACGTTAACCACGACTAACATCACTCACCACCGACGTTAATCACGACTAAACACTCACCACCGACGTTAACCACGACTAACATCACTCACCACCGACGTTAACCACGACTAACATCACTCACCACCGACGTTAACCACGACTAACAACACTCACCACCGACGTTAACCACGACTAACATCACTCACCACCGACGTTAACCACGACTAACATCACTCACCACCGACATAACCACGACTAACATCACTCACCACCGACGTTAACCACGACTAACATCACTCGCCACCGACGTTAACCACGACTAACATCACTCACCACCGACGTTAATCACGACTAACATCACTCACCACCGTCGTTAACCACGACTAACATCACTCACCACCGACGTTAACCACGACTAACAACACTCGCCACCGACGTTAACCACGACTAACATCACTCGCCACCGACGTTAACCACGACTAACATCACTCACCACCGACGTTAACCACGACTAACAACACTCACCACCGAAGTTAACCACGACTAACAACACTCACCACCGACGTTAACCACGACTAACATCACTCACCACCGACGTTAACCACGACTAACATCACTCACCACCGATGTTAACCACGACTAACATCACTCGCCACCGACGTTAACCACGACTAACAACACTCACCACCGACGTTAACCACGACTAACATCACTCACCACCGACGTTAACCACGACTAACATCACTCACCACCGACATAACCACGACTAACATCACTCACCACCGACGTTAACCACGACTAACATCACTCGCCACCGACGTTAACCACGACTAACATCACTCACCACCGACGTTAACCACGACTAACATCACTCACCACCGTCGTTAACCACGACTAACATCACTCACCACCGACGTTAACCACGACTAACAACACTCGCCACCGACGTTAACCACGACTAACATCACTCGCCACCGACGTTAACCACGACTAACATCACTCGCCACCGACGTTAACCACGACTAACAACACTCACCACCGACGTTAACCACGACTAACATCACTCACCACCGACGTTAACCACGACTAACATCACTCGCCACCGACGTTAATCACGACTAACAACACTCACCACCGACACGTTAACCACGACTAACATCACTCACCACCGATGTTAACCACGACTAACATCACTCACCACCGACACGTTAACCACGACTAACATCACTCACCACCGATGTTAACCACGACTAACATCACTCACCACCGACACGTTAACCACGACTAACATCACTCACCACCGACGTTAACCACGACTAACATCACTCACCACCGACGTTAACCACGACTAACATCACTCACCACCGACGTTAACCACGACTAACATCACTCGCCACCGACGTTAACCACGACTAACAACACTCACCACCGATGTGAGCCACGACTAACATCACTCACCACCGATGTTAACCACGACTAACATCACTCACCACCGATGTTAACCACGACTCACGACTAACATCACTCACCACCGATGTTAACCACGACTCACGACTAACATCACTCACCACCGACGTTAACCACGACTAACATCACTCGCCACCGACGTTAACCACGACTAACATCACTCACCACTGATGTTAACCACGACTAACATCACTCACCACTGATGTTAACCACGACTAACATCACTCGCCACCGACGTTAACCACGACTAACATCACTCACCACCGACGTTAACCACGACTAACATCACTCGCCACCGACGTTAACCACGACTAACAACACTCACCACCGACACGTTAACCACGACTAACATCACTCACCACCGATGTTAACCACGACTAACATCACTCACCACCGACGTTAACCACGACTAACATCACTCACCACCAACGTTAACCACGACTAACATCACTCACCACCGACGTTAACCACGACTAACATCACTCGCCACCGACGTTAACCACGACTAACATCACTCACCACCGACGTTAATCACGACTAACATCACTCACCACCGTCGTTAACCACGACTAACATCACTCACCACCGACGTTAACCACGACTAACATCACTCACCACCGACGTTAACCACGACTAACATCACTCGCCACCGACGTTAACCACGACTAACAACACTCACCACCGATGTTAACCACGACTAACATCACTCACCACCGACGTTAACCACGACTAACATCACTCACCACCAACGTTAACCACGACTAACATCACTCACCACCGACGTTAACCACGACTAACATCACTCGCCACCGACGTTAACCACGACTAACATCACTCACCACCGACGTTAATCACGACTAACATCACTCACCACCGTCGTTAACCACGACTAACATCACTCACCACCGACGTTAACCACGACTAACATCACTCACCACCGACGTTAACCACGACTAACATCACTCGCCACCGATGTGAGCCGTGTCTAGGAGCAGGCCCACGACACCGCGCGCCAAGCACTGCGCCACCGCTCCTACTGTGACTACAGTGCACTGTAACAACAGTGCACTGTAAACTACTGCACTGTAACTACAATGCACTGTAACCACTATTTGTATATCGCAAATGACAGATTAATGCACGCGTGGTGGTGGTAGTAGTGTTGTAGTTGTATCTCGCTGTAGTTAACCCTTCTACAATCGACGTGTTACCTTGACTATACACGGCCCTCCGTATACTAAAGACGCCTCAATACGAGTTAACACAACGTACAAAGACTTTCCCCCCGTGTAGCCTTAGCAGACTTGTTAGGGCAAAGTGCTGTTAGCGAGCACCTATTAAGGCCGGCACGGCGGCGGTGCACGAGGGAGCGTTGGGGGGGGGTGTTTAGAGTGGCAACACAGCCACCACGCCCGGCCGTCTTTGTCTCCCCAGCGCTGGGGTGTTGACACCGTACCAAGGCAGTCGCTTTAAGGCGGAGTCGATGCAGGCGAGGGACCCGGTTGAATGATTCGCAGTCACTTGCTGTCGTCGCTGACGGGAATCGCGAACTCGGCACGGAGGCAGCGGCGGTGAACCGCTGCGCCACCGCTCCTCTCACGCGCCGCACCGAGCTACAAATAGGCAGCCACCCTCCTATAAACACACACACACACTGCCGTGTTGAAGCTGCTAGACACCACGACGATGATTGGTGATGATGAATGGCAATAGTAATCGCAATAAACACCACGACGGTGGTGATGGTGGTGATGGAGGCAGCTGCCCTTACCAAAACCCCGCTCGTGATGTCGCAACTCCTAGACCAGGCCGCGACCAACAACAACAACAAAAGTGTCTCGCTGTATAAACCTTGTTAACAATTACTTCACAATTAAACTGTCACTTTATATATAAAAAATTGAAATAGCATTTTTTGTTTTTGTTTTAACGCGAACTAGCAGCCTCTTAAGGGATGTTTTGATGTCTGCACGGTGGGGTGTGGGGGCCCGCGTCGGATAGGGCGGCCATTCACGTGCCACCATTGGCTGTGAGTGGATTACTAAGTCAGTCACCTGGGATTACTAAGTCAGTCACCTGGGATTACTAAGTCAGTCACCTGGGATTACTAAGTCAGTCACCTGGGAGTATTAAGTCAGTCACCTGGGATTACTAAGTCAGTCACCTGGGATTACTAAGTCAGTCACCTGGGAGTATTAAGTCAGTCACCTGGGATTACTCAGTCACCTGGGATTACTAAGTCAGTCACCTGGGATTACTAAGTCAGTCACCTGGGATTACTAAGTCAGTCACCTGGGATTATTAAGTCAGTCACCTGGGATTATTAAGGCACCTGGGATTATTAAGTCAGTCACCTGGGATTATTAATTCACCTGGGATTATTAAGGCACCTGGGATTATTTATTCACCTGGGATTATTAAGGTACCTGGGATTATTAAATCACCTGGGATTATTAAGTCACCTGGGATTACTAAGTCAGTCACCTGGGATTACTAAGTCAGTCACCTGGGAGTATTAAGTCAGTCACCTGGGATTACTCAGTCACCTGGGATTACTAAGTCAGTCACCTGGGATTACTAAGTCAGTCACCTGGGATTATTAAGTCACCTGGGATTATTAAGTCAGTCACCTGGGATTATTAAGTCAGTCACCTGGGATTATTAAGTCACCTGGGATTATTAAGTCAGTCACCTGGGAGTATTAAGTCAGTCACCTGTGATTACTAAGTCAGTCACCTGGGATTATTGAGTTAGTCACCTGGGATTATTAAGTCAGTCACCTGGGATTATTAAGTCACCTGGGATTATTAGGCACCTGGGATTATTAAGTCAGTCACCTGGGATTATTAAGTCAGTCACCTGGGATTATTAAGTCAGTCACCTGGGATTATTAGGCACCTGGGATTATTAAGTCACCTGGGATTATTAAGTCAGTCACCTGGGATTATTAAGTCACCTGGGATTATCAGTCAGTCACCTGGGATTATTAAGGCACCTGGGATTATTAAGTCAGTCACCTGGGATTATTAATTCACCTGGCATTATTAAGTCAGTCACCTGGGATTATTAATTCACCTGGGATTATTAAGTCAGTCACCTGGGATTATTAAGGCACCTGGGATTATTAAGGCACCTGGGATTATTAATTCACCTGGGATTATTAAGGTACCTGGGATTATTAAATCACCTGGGATTATTAAGTCACCTGGGATTATTAAGTCAGTCACTTGGGATTATTAAGGCACCTGGGATTATTAAGTCAGTCACCTGGGATTATTAAGTCAGTCACCTGGGATTATTAAGTCACCTGGGATTATTAAGGGACCTGGGATTATTAAGTCAATCACATGGGATTATTAATTCACCTGAGATTATTAAGTCAGTCACCTGGGATTATTAATTCACCTGGGATTATTAAGTCAGTCACCTGGGATTATTAAATCACCTGGGATTATTAAGTCAGCTAGGATATGAAGTCGCCTGTGATATTAAGTCCCCTCGGATTGGAAATGTGACTACAGTAATATTGTAATTTATTACTTGAATAATAAAAGTTTGATTAAGAACGTGTGACATTACTTCCATGGCATTCTTATTTAAATAAAAAAAGTAATTGTAATTAATCAATATAATCATGATAATAGGCGTCTGACAGCCCTAAATATCCTTGAGATTTAACAAATACTGTACAATAATATTGGTGAGATTTCCCAGATATAATACAATGTATGAGATTTAACAAATATATATATTTTTATGTGAATGTAATTAAATATAAATAGCATTGAAAAATAACTGAAGACTAATGAAACAGCTGATATATAATTTCAAATTGCAGTCACTCCCCGAATCTCTTTTCGATTACATCTTCTCGAATACTGCTTCTCCATCAATCTCCATGATCTCTTAAGTTCAATTACAGTTTATTGATCGCCCGCTCATTGGCTAATTGATCATTGCTATTCAATTGATCAAGCGCATTCCTGTTAACAGCATGCTCATTCCTTTATTGATCACGCACTCGTTCACTTTAATTACACGCTCATTATAGATATAAAAAACGACGAAACATTTTTTTTATTTTATCAGGTAAGGCCCACTGAGCTGTATATGCCTATTTTGTTTTAGACGCGACCTGGTCACAAATGGATAGCTCAACGAAGTGGGTTATCAAGTAGACATGTAAAGCAGCCAAATACTTTAAACGCGTGGTGATGTTCGTTCTAAATGTGGAGGGGAAAAACCGGAGGACCCGGAGAAAAATCCACATGACCTCGGGGAAAGAGAGAGAGAGAGACACTCACACTGCAAATATACCAGCATAGTCAGGGTCGAGAGCGAACCCACGACCTCCTGTATACCAAGCGAAGTAGTTAACATCTCGTCACTGTGATGCCAATTCTCTTCTATCGATCACGCCATAATTCGCTTATTATTATCACCCAACCGCCACAATGCAGGTGCCATCGACTGAACCGACACGCGCACATGACAACAACCCATGACATCAAAGTTCCCAAGAGACATCTGACATGCTTTCCCCATTTTCGAGGGGGTCACTACACTAGCAGTGGATTGGCCATGGTGGGTTACGACGGTGGTGACAAAGCAAAACTAAATTCTGTCCCAACATATCAATACAAATTTATATATTTTATATATTCTTGGTTCTTTCGGTAAAGTCACGTAGAAGGGAAATAATAAAACAAAATTCTCACGACGTTTCCATTGCAACACAAGCAATCATAATCAGATGTGAAAACCACAGCAAGAACCGCCACTTTTTTCTAAAATTTTCTTGCTGTGGTTTTCACACCTGATGATGATTGCTTGTGTTGCAATCGAAACGTCGTGAGAATTTTATTGTTTTATTTTTATTATTTTCCTTCTACGTGATTTTACCGAAAGAACCAAGAATATGAATCCCTGCAGTGACGAAAGCTTTAAATCGAAATTTATATATATTTTGTTTATTTCACATGCTTTCCAGAACAAAATGATCAAGCAAGTTTAAGGAAGCAAACTGTGGACCGGGGTTCACTTTGAGTCACGTCAGCAGCGGCAGGCCTGTTAAATGCTGCTGATATCAAATGTTTTGGCAAGAATACTCCATATAAACCAGTTGTTCTTATTCTTTACTACAGCCTTGCACCCCTTTGGTTCTCAATCGTAAAAAAAAATTATCATGTTAATAAATAACATAGGCTTGATGAAACAAAGTAGTTGTACTTACGTGCCCGTTCTTAATTAGTGTTTAGATTATTTACCTTTTAAACAAAAATCCGGCAATGTCTCGCAACCCCCAGAAAGGGCATCTCGCACCAGGAGGTGCACTCCAGGTTAAGAACCACACTGATCTAAACCATCCGTGGCCTGTTAAATGATGCGGAATGAGCTGGGTCGTTATCGCAGGTTTAGAAAGTCACCACCAGCACTGTCACTGCGTCGCGAGCCAGCTCGGGTTTAGATTTGAAGCTTTCGTGACTGCAATGATTCATACTCCTTGGTTTTTTTCGGTAAAGTCACGTAGGTAAAATAAAGTTTTAAAATAAAACTAAATTTAAATCACGACGTTTCGGAGGCAACACAAGCTTCCGTCTTCAGGTGGAACGGTCACAGTTTGCTGTGACAGTTTGCTGCGACTGTTCCACCTGAAGACGGAAGCCTGCGTTGCCTCCGAAACGTCGTGATTTAATTTAGTTGTTTTCTATTTTAATTTTGTTTTACCTATGTGACTTTACCGAAACAAATCAAAGAGTACAGCTCGGGTTGGTTTATGTTTACCCCTAGAGCAGTGGTGTTCAGCCAGTAGGAGGACGCCTTTCAGAGGATGGTGCAGGTTGCAGCATGGATACCGTGCAGGAACGATTATATTATCTCTGGCCCTCCTCTAGGTCGACTGAGCTTCAAATGAGTACCCGGCGCTGTGTAAACGTCGGCACCAGGGGAGACAAAGGCGGCCGAGCGTGGTGTTATTACGAATCTCACCGCCTCCGATTAGCACGGTTGGCTACGTACGGTGCGAAAGAAGTTCAACATATATGGTTTCTGTACGCAGTCAGAGCCGCTATTGTCATATAATGTATAGCCTTTTGAAATACGCTTGCAGAAGCTGCCACGATAACGTTTTAACGTATAAGACGATGTCAAAAATTGTTTCCAATAAATAAATGGCGGAGGTGCCTCCTTTCAAAAGTTAACGGCTAATGTGCGTTCATGGTTTGGTATTTGGGGCCGTCCATAAATGACGTCACGTGATTTTGGACGGTTTTTGACTAACCCCCCCCCCCTAGTCACACGACGTCACAAAAAGTCAGACCCCCCCTAAAATATGACGTCACAAAGCTCTGCCCCCCCCCTCCAAAACCATATTTCCATTTTGAAAATAAAACATGCTTCAAATCGCTTTAAACTATTGTCATTGTAGTGCGTATTTAATGTGGCACTGCACTCTGATGTTGTAGGAGTGTTGTTATAACAATTAGTGTTGTCATAACAATTCTATGTTAATTTAAAGTTGCGCATTTGATGTGACGTCACATTTCTCAACCCCCCCCCCTCCCCTTTGTCACACATCGTCACAAAAATCTGACCCCCCCCCAAGTTGCGTGACGTCATTTATGGACGGCCCCTAAGTAATAGTAGTAACAGTATCCTTTATTTAACCAGGTGGTTAAACTATTGTCATTGTAGTGCGTGTTTAATGTGGCGCTGCACTCTGATGTTGTAGGAGAAAACAAGTTTTAAAAAGGAGGCGTTGGAAAGCTTACATTTTGCATAAAATTCACTTGAAAATATTCAACGTCTAACTGAAACTGCAGATGTTCAGAATATTTTATTGAAATTATCTCATAATTATAAAATATTAAAAGTAATTATAACTATAACAAAACATTTTTGTAGTAGAACGAAGCAAAATGGAGAGTACAATTATAACAATCACATATTCATTTCACAGAATGAAAAGCCCTGTTAGAATCATTAGAAACAAAAGTTTGATAACAATCATGAAGAAAATGTTCAAAATGTATGCTTCTCCATTCTCCCATGGAGAAGCAAAATGCTCCTTCATGGAATAAATAAAAGGTGACCTTAGTAAATTTAAATAATCAAATAGTTAATAATGAAATTGATCAAAATTAGTGTTGTTAATACAATTCTATATTTATTTGAAGTTGAGCATTTTGATGTTACGTCACATTTCTAACCCCCACCCCCCCCTCGTCACACATCGTCACAAATGTCTGACCCCCCCCCCCCACCCCCAGGTGCGTGACGTCATTTATGGACGGCCCCTTATTATTAATGTAGGATAATGAACATTAGGGGATGTCGAGTACTGGACGATAAGAAAAATAAACGGACTTGAGCAGGAACACATTGCTAGATGATGGCCAAGACTACGAATGGAGTTGCAGCCAAAGGAGGGAACGAGGACAATCAGAATCAGAATATTTATTTTTTTCTGGAGGAATCCGATAAGCAAAAACACTCTTATTTCACAGATCTCCAGTCTCAGTGGGGTGGCATGTTTGAGTCGTCTTCGTTTAAAGCGGAGGTTTGGTGGATGCCAAACCTCCAGTGTGGTGAGCCTGAGCCACAAGTAAATACTTAATTCATATGAATGACGGTCATCTTCCTTTAAATATATTCTTAAGTTTGCACGTTGTTGTTTTTTTATAAAAAAAAAAACAATCTTCTACACTTTATAAAGTCGTGATTGCAGATTGAAAAAAAAAACAGATGCAATTCAATTTGATTACAAAAGAAGACTTTATTTTCTGCTCAACGATTTGGAGCTGTGCAACCATAGATGAAATTTGAATTATAAAAGTGAAGAAAAGCTTTAATACAGTATATTACAACACAATAGCTTATTTTCACCCCGATTAAACCGTTGGCACAAACGCTGTTATCTAGCTCGACACGTGGCCAGTATGACATGTTCAATCTGAGTTGGAGGCATTACCCCCACACCCAGATGTTTTGGCTTTCAGCACTTGCGTCACAAGATAGTACTTTGTGCCAGGAACGTGTTCCCTATTTTCAGATTATTCCAGAAATAATCCTAAAATTGCGCCTGGAAATACGACATTTTACACAATCTGATCATATTTTTTTTCCCATTTATACGACCTGCGTGATGTTACAGGAAGTGACATCACATCTGTTATTTTCCTTCCAAAAAGTGCTGTCAGGGTAGCATGATCGGGTGATGTGACTTTTGTGAGCACAAAGACACTGTTAGATTGATCCGAACTACGTCTGAATTAACCTTTAAAATCTGACATTTTAAAATATGAAATTCATCCCTACTATTTACCCCGATTATACACGGTCGACCTTGTGGAATCCTTAGGCCAGCTAGCACAATATGTACAGTGCCAGGAATCATGCACGGGAATAACTGGGATTGCAGAGACTATAACGACCAATAACCACGACGTGCTACGTGAATACCGTAGTACGTCCCGAAAGCTAACTCCAACATAATACTGTGCATACATTGGTGACACGTCTGAAAACGACGAACATTAATAACCGCAAGCAATTTGTGTACTGATCCTAAAAAAAAATGTATACACGTTTTAAGAAAAAGCGTCTTCTGAGAGCCGCAAAAAAATTGACAAAAGTTCCGTTTATATTTTCTTTCCAAGTGAGGATGGCAACTGGTTTGTAACAGAACAAAATGAATGAATTATACTACCAACATATACGAAATATAAATAATAAAAGGAGTATTGCTCAGCTGTGGAAACCAACATGCCTACAAACAGATGCCATGCACAGTGGTATTTGGAAACATTTTAAAAGCTCATTACCTCTGCACTGCTGTTCACAGAACTCTCACACTGAAAATGGGCACCGCCCCAAATGCCCCACATCCAGCTAGCATGCAATTTATCCGGGCACTAGCTGGCAATACCTGGACTGTGTTAAAAGTAAATAAGAGCTGCAGTGTGGTTGTGTGCACATGTAAACCTATGCTCCAAGTGGTGTCAATGGCAGTGACTCAATATGAAAAGGAAACGTGTTCGTTTAGGCTGCAACTTGAAATATTACAATTGGCCCTTTCTACAAGCTTGCTTCGTCTGTACGTGCCAAGATAACGTCTGCCTGCCATAAACATTTCCTTGAGTCAACAAAGTATGGTAATTGGGTCAAGTATGGAGATACGATAACAGTGACGATGATAATGACCCCATGAAGATACGATCATAAGTAAGCAATTGTATGGGAATATATTGGCTTGAACTTAGAGAAAGTAAAAAATATAACACCGAAAAATACAATTTAACACATGTTTTCGCAGCCGCTGGTAATCCATGTTTTGTTTTGGGCGACGTGTTGAACATTTTTTCCTCTGAGGCTTTCACCACGCACTATTACGGGCATCTTCAGGAGTTTCAGACGTCATCGTGATTCACATCATTATCCACATTTCCAATTGAACTCCAGACGATTCGCCGTTGCAGTGCGCGGCAAACGCGTGAGAGAAGAAATAACCAATACGCAGCCCAAACAAAACGGATAACCGCCCTTGGACTGAAATATACAATAAAAAAACACACACACACACACAAAACTACATTTATTTTACTCCCCGTGTGGGGCCGAGGATGGCTGCTCATCAAAATCCTCGCATCGCGTCGCATTCCAGAACGCGGGCACGCTGTCCACCTCCGTCCATCGGGACTCGCCCTCCTTGTCCCACTCGCTCGTGTCCATGGTGGAGCCTGCGTCCGACTCGCTGTCGGAGCAGCTGGCGTAGCCGGCCCGTCCGACCTGCGAACTCAGCTCCATGTCGCTGTCATCCTCGAAGCTCTGCAGCCGAGCCATCGTCAGCGTCGGCGGCGCCGCCATCGTCGGCGGAGCGGGAGGGGCGACAGAGGCTGGCGTGGCACGGGTCGCCGCCGAGCGCAGGCAGCTGAGCCACTGCTGCTTGTTGTAGGCGCCGTCGGCAAGCAGGTTGTGCATGCGGCCCCGTGCCGCGGAGGAGAAGCCGACGCGGAACGCGTGCTTGCCTGCGTGTACGTGCGTGCGTTCACAGTTGAGAGCGCCGGTGCGCGTTTGTTAGCGGGGCCACCGCGTCGCGATCGCGAGTGCTGTTATTGTTGTTTTTTGTTGCTTTCGGAACATTTGTTTGCCTGGGAAAGGCTCACCAAGGCTTCTTTCCGGAGGGTCCTGATACATTCCAGAGTAGGGGCGAATATGTGTTTTCCCACTTGGGAAATTTTGCGGGTAATTTGGATTATGACGCTGGTACACATGGCCGAGCCTTCTTAGAATAACATCACGGGGTTCTTAACGTCCATTGTGAAGCAGACGCCACATTTTTTACAGTCGGAATACACCTGCAGGTTTAACTAGGGTGGCCACTGGGCCCGAACCCCAGACCTTCACAACAAACGGCAAAAATTCGGTTGTCATCTCTTCTTTACAGCCCTGAACCAGTGATACAAATTCGACATTCCCATGACGGGAGCGAGTATCTCCGTAGGACAACCACTGTTGACTTCCCCACAAAGTGGTACTCACTTTAATGACCCCCCAGCGAGATGATGAGGCCAAGTCAACCCCCCCAACCAGGATTAGAACTCGCAACCTCCCGATTGCGAGCCGCCCGCCCTACCGCTGAGGCATCGGGTCAAATAGGTGACGGAGTACTTGCGATTAAACCCTGATCAGGTGGTGGGGGCAGGGGTGATTGGGGCTTGCCTCGCTCCGCCGGCCCAAAGGGGCCCCTGATGAAGGAGGTCCCATCTGGCAGGTCCTGCACGCAGAGCTCCGCCGTGGGGACCGGCTGGCGGTACACCTGGAAGCTGGGGGCTCCGTTACGATAGCCGGGCCTCGTGATGACCAGCACCCCGTCCAGCAGGAACACGTGCAGCTTCTGCTCACAGTGCCGGGTAGGGGAGGGAGCAATAAAGGATGAGGGTGGGGAGGGAGGATGTGGAAGTGGAAGTCAGGGTGAAGAGTTTCAGCAGGAGCAGTCCGGAATGGTGATCCGGCAATTGATATGGCACGCAAACTCCATCTCGTATTATTTCACCCTTGTGATACGGTACTATGGTATATTATGATTATATGAATATAGGGCACGGTAGTATAAGGTACAATGATATGGTATTGTTTATAGAAAGGCATACCTTGTACTCTAGTGGTAGTGCCTTATGCCGATAATTCCCACTTCAAGCCAGGCTAGCAGTGTTCCATAAAATATCAGGTGAGAATGTATGCCCTGACGATCATGCTAATGATGGGATTTATGATGATGATGATGATGATGAGGCACGTAATGATACTTCACATCATCGATGAAAATCAATTCAAAATCGATTCTTACACTCGTGGGACACGCAATGGCTAGGAGAAGGCCGATGGTCAAGCGTAACAACGGAGCGTAAGCCAAAGAACGAAACTCGTCCGGAGAGGACGTCCACTGAGGAAATGGAGCGATGAAATCAGCTCGTGTGTAGGTAAGTGCTCGGTGAATTATCACACTGTCGGATCGTGAAAGATGGCTTGAGGAGACATTTGCCCGTGGACAATCACGACGATGATGAATTGTTGCGGGTGTAATGATTGTGACGGTGACGATGATGACTATTATGACGATGCCTATTACAATGATGATGATGAATTGTTACAATAATAATGATTGTGACGATGACGATGATGACTATTATGACGATGGCTATTACAATGATGATGATGATTTGTTACAGTCGTAATGATTGTGACGATGATGACTATTATGACGATGCCTATTACAATGATAATGATGAATCGTTACAATCGTAACGATTGTGACGATGACGATGATGGCTATTATGACGATGGCTACTACAATGATAATGATGACTATTATTACAGGCGTAACGGTTGTGACGATGACAACGACTGTTACAGCGATGATGAATCGTTACTGGCGTAATGACTGTGACGACGACGATTGTGACGATGCCCGTCGCGACGACGACGACGATGACGTTCGCTGCGAGCTCACCTGCCCGCGGTGGTTACGGAGCTCTCCGTGGCAGCAGAGCGAGCGGGCGGCGGCGATGAGGGGGTCTCTGTGCCGCGGGTCCACATACTCGAGCAGCCCGATGTAGTGGCGGCACTCCGACTCCCCCGCCCGCGTGTTCATCTCGCCCAGGATGCCCTGCATCACGTCCAGCTGCGAGCGCAGGCGGGGCACGGCGGCAACGGACGGCGATGACGGCGTGCGTTTGAAAGGCTGCCCCGTAATGGAGCGAGCATGCGAGGTCGCACTCGTTACACGCAAAGTGCTTGCCACAAATGAACCACGATACCTTGCCGAGATCTCGTCAAGGAGCATGAACCATCACGCAAACTACGGTCATCCTCGCGGCGGCTTTCGGCTGCCCATCGAACAAATATGGTCACCGCGTTGCGCGTTTTCAGATGCGCTTCTGCGTACGTCTGGAACGCTCACTTCCTTACGATATTAGGAAGCCACCGGAGCGATGCACTTTTAAAATCCAGATTGAAAACTAATTTCTTTAGACCTGCTTTTGGTGTTTAGTTTGTTGTCCTTCACCCACATTTCCTATTAGCACGGCTGGCTACGTACGGTGCGAAAGATATTCAACGTACGTACGTACAAGAGTGTGGAAAATACATTTGTGTAAGAGTGCAGAATGGCGCGGGGATGGCGGGGGGGGGGGGGGGGGGGCCGGGTGGCGAGGCGAGAACGGGAGCGGCCATGCTGTGCGCGCGTGTCAAGGGACAATGCATCGCTAACGCCGAACGAAACGAGTACAAACTTTGTTTTGAACCTGAACAGGAACAAGACAGGCCAAGGCGGCACACGTGAGCATTCGTGCATCGCACCGCAATCAACAACAACAACAACAACAACCGCCATTCGGGACTAAGTGGCAGTGACGTCACCACGGCGCTTGTGCCAGGCTATGTGCACTTTAAGGCCACGTGAAGCGTCGAACGCCCGCTGACAGGAGGTCACGGGACAGACTCAGGTTGACCGACTGAAATGACTGGCCGATGCACCACCTGTGTGGTGTGTGGCCCCTGGTGACCTCGAGTTGTTAAGGTCGGGTTCTGGGCATTGTTATTTGCTGTAAGTGTAGGGCAGGGGCTTTGAACGTTATTGGTAGGGCAGAACCCCATCTTGCCGCTGGGTGGTAAGTGTGAGGGTGCTTGGGTGGGCCCCCATCCAAGCCCCTGAGATCCCCCGCCTCAGGTTCACGTTGCGCACCGGAGTGTTTTGTCGCCGCGCCACGGTGCCGATGCTCCGCATGCACATTCACGAAACTTTTTTTTATTTACAGAGGCCGGGCAAGGGCCCGCCGAGCTACATAGCTCCTTTTTCAGAAGAGACCGGGCCACAAATGATAGCTCAACACAGTGGCTTATCGTGTGTGGGGATTTATATTTTTCATGAAAAATACTCTGAACGCATGTCGATGATAAATGTGGAGGGGAAAAGGACCCGGAGAAAAATCCACGCGACCGCAGGGAGAGAGACACCGCAAACTCCAAATATACAGCAGCAGCAGGCGTCAGGATCGGGATCGAACCCACGACCTCCTGCATACCAGGCGAAGGGGATAACATCTCGCCACCGAGGCGCCCCAACATCAAACATTTCCCCTGCACAGTATCCACGCCTCAGTCTGCGCGCATCGCCGCTCCCTGCAAGGCTGGGCGAGGAGGGGGCTGGGGGGCGGTGGTGGGGGGGGGGGGAGAGGCGTGCGTTTGGGGAACGAATGGAGAGGATGGGGAAATCCCGTGGCGAGGTGCAAACAAGGTTCGGGAGCTCACAGCGCGCGTCAGCGGCGCGGCATCCGCGTGCTCGCTGGGCGTGAGGCGCAGGATCTCGCGCAGCAGCAGCGGGTACTTGACGAGGCGCGAGCGCGGCACGTCCAGGAAGCTCCACAGCTCCAGGCGGCGACTGAACGGCGACTCGAGGCACCGCTGCAGGAAGTCCTGGACCCGCGGGTCCTGCTTCTTGCGGTCAAGCAGCGCCTTGGCCGCCAGCTGGTTCCCGCAGTAGCCGACGTAGGCGCTGAGGCAGGGGAGCTGCGGCCCGCGAGGATGGGCGAGAGAAAGAGCGGGAGGGAGAGAGGTGCACGCAGTTAAATTTTTTTACAGTGAGCAGATAAGTGTCGATTCATCGTTGTCTTGTTTTTGGGGTGAGGCCGCGTACGATAATATGGATGATGAAGATGATGATAAAAACGATGATTAGGATGATGATGATGATGAAAGTGATGATTATAATGATGTGGTTGGGCCAATCCTGGCCAGAATTCGAGCTCACGACTTTGAGCTGGCCCCACCCTGCTGTGATACGTAGGAAAAAACTTGGCCATATTCTGCGTGGGACGTACGGGGGCAACGGCATGCACATTTGCATGCATATTAACTGCATAAACACGTATGTGATCAGATAAGTATTGAGGTTTGTTAAATATGTTTTCACGACTGAAGCCCGACCACGTGGGCCCTAAATGTATGTAAGTTGAACTTCTTTCGCACCGTACATAGGCAACTGTGCTAATCGGACGTGCGGGGAAAGACAATAAACTAAACGCAAAAAGTAGTTTTAAAGAAATCAGTCTTCAACCTAGATTTAAAAGTGCCATAGCTCTAGTGGCTTCCTAATGTCAGAAGGAAGAGCGTTCCAGACGGCCGTATAAACACACCTGAAAGCGCGCGATGCAGCGAGCGACTTTGTCCGATGGCTATTCCAAAAAACAAAAGCCGTAGCTGCGCGGATTTTGACTCTGACTCACCCAGTCCAGCAGCAGAGGTCCCACGTGGTGAATGGAGCCGTCCCCCTGGCGAGCGCCATCCAGCCGCCGCACGAGATCTACACGAGGCCCCATTGGCAGCATCGCCCCCAACGGAGAACAAATGACAACGAGCACACGTGAGAGAGCATCTCTTTTTGACAGAAACATCCCTGCGTTTGGATTCAGCAATACGTTGTTCGACCTGTAACATGCACACTTTGAACTTAAATGGGCATTCGGAGGTGCGAAAACATCAATTAAAGAGAGGAGTGTTTCGATTATGACATCCTAAACTACTTTTTATTTTAACTGGGTAGGCCCAATTGAGCTATATAGCTCTTTTTCAAAAGCGACATGGCCACAAATGATAGCTCAACGAAGTGATTTATCACGTAGAAATGTACAGCAGACAAATATTGTGCTCTAAATCCGCGTTTCTAAATGTGGAGGGAAAAACCGGAGGACCCAAAGACAAATCCACCCGACCACGGGGATAACATGCAAACTCCAAATATACGAACGTCAGGGTCGGGATCGAACCCACGACCTCGTGTATACCAGGTGAGGTAGCGAACATCTCGCCACCACGGAGCCGAGATGTTAGGTACTTAACATGATGACTGTTTGTAACATCTCGCGACAAACAGCCAATACTGATGCCGATGTGCGGTGATAGTGAGGAGGGGGAAGTGAATTCCAGACGAGCGGAGTGGTGACAGAGAAGCAACGTCCACTGTGTCTGGTTCGAGAGACGACACGAGGTTTGATGAGGAAGAGGGAGTCCACTTGAGGTCAATCGGAGGTCGTGTAATGGGACAAACGACGAGACGACGGAAGCTGAATATGCCGATTGGAATTGGAAATTTGACCAAATCTATTAATAAGAATTTGGCTTTATGTGGGAGGAAACGGTTCCCCACAGAACCCACGCATACGAAGCAATAACACACACCCAATCCGCTGCACAGATGGAACAAAATTTCTCAACTGTCACATTTGCCTTTTGCGACATAAGAATGGCGTGAATACCAAATGTACTCCCTTACTTAAGGCTACAAACAGCGAGTCCCAGGTGGTCTCCAACACAAATACCACCTCGGCCCAACCCTTACTTAGCCTCCGAGATCTGGCGAGATCGGCCACGTTTCACGGTGAGTCAGCACCCCCCCCCCCCCCGCATACTAAATTTGGTATTGAGCGGTGCGCTCATCTGTAAATCCCCAACCAGAAGGGGAAATTCCACATTCTAATGACAGAGACCCGTCTCGCCATATCTAAACATTTCTTTGGACTTCCCAACGAGCGGTACAGCGTCACCAGGTGATTGCAATGATCACGCCACCGATTATGACGATGACAACTATGATGACGATGATGATGATGATTAATTAAGACAACAATGATGATAACGTAATGACTGAAATTCTAGAGCACCCACCCGAAGCAAATGTCCAGCCAAACAGACTTCCAGGAAGTAGGTGAAGGCCTCCTATTAGTGCAGAGAGGCCTCCATGGTGATTGGTCGGGAGGCAAGGTTTGAAGGGAATGGAGGAGAGGTTCAAACCGAAATGGGCAGGAAGCGGAGGTTGGAAGTTGAGGCGACGGTTTAAAACCGTTAGGGGCGAAGGACGGGAATTGGCTGGGGACAAACAGCCAATGAGAGAAGTTGCGAGAGAAGGGGCTCGAGAGGGATAAAGAGGGAGAGCACAAGGAGAGAGGATGTTCGGGAGAGGGTTCGAGCTTCAACCGAGAAGCAAGAAGCCGGACCTAGAGTTGGTGCTGTGCCAAAATAAAAAGGCTCCGAGCACAACGTGTGTCGGTGTCGTTACAATAAAAATGATGACAATGGCAATAATGATGATAAAAAAATCGGTAAAATCCTAACCTCGGTTATAACACACAATCTCAGGCTGGCCACCCTTTTGCAATACTTCTGGAATAAACTTGGTCATATTCTGTGTGGAGTAATGTATGGAGGCACCGCCATTTATGGACACACACCTTTGTACATGGTCTAACCCGAATACATCAATTAGGAATAACAATATCGGCTGCATAAACAAACACGTGTTCAGATCTGTATTTTTTTTCTTTCTCGTTTGTCGAGCCTGGCCACATGGGCCGCCTCGTTGCTTCGCTGCAGAATAACCTCGGGCGTTTTCCGTGTGGAGAGATGTACAGAGGCACCGACCATTCACGGACACGCACCTTCATGCAGAGGGATGAACGAGTCAAGAGAGCCGAAGATTTGCGCGAGTTCCTCCTCTGTCATGATGGCCAGGGTCAGCATGGGGTCGTGGTAGGCCTGCAGTGACAGCCGTGAGTCGGTCATTTCTGTTCCGTGGTGGGATCTTCGCGACGCGCACAACGCGTTCACTAAACGGACTACACATGCACAGAACTGCTTGTTGTGTTTAGCTTTGTTGACCTTCCCCCGCACCTCTGATTAGCACGGTTGGCTACGTACGGTGCGAAAGAAGTTCAGCATACATACGTACGTCCACAATCCAGGGTTCAAATGCAGCCGGAACTCTCTGGGGGTGAGCTACAGAAAATGTGTCCCAGCATTCCCCATTCCGCCTCCGCTGTCACTTTGTCGCCCATGGGGTTTATTGGCGGTGGGTCTGGATTGCCCCTGAAGACCTCTCGAAAAGCCATTGATGCTGCCCTTGCCGCCCCTGGGACCCTTTGCTGGATGGGCTCCCTGAGGTTGCCCATGGGATTTATTGGTCACGGGTCCCAGACCCCCGAAAACACCTTGGGACCGGATTTGCCCCAGTGTGCTACATCCCCATTACAATATGTATTTATACTGGAGGAATCCGATGAGCTACAAAGCATTTTTTTCCGCGGATATCCAGTGGCATGTACTCGGCCTCGCTGGTCCAGAGCTGTGCAGCTGTATACTGCTCTCTCCCCTCTCCCGTGCATCCCTACTTCCCTCACCCTCCTCGCCCCCACCCCCACCCCGCACCTCCCACTTCCCATTTCTCATCTTCGTCCTTAATGTTGTCATGTAAAGGATCCATGATACGCGGTAGGTAGCTTTGAGCCGCTGCATAAATTGTCGCGGTCCCTGTCGTTAAATAACACGATTGTTTATCTTCTCTTTAACTCATGGCTGTCATGAAGAGTGCAATTGATGTTTTGGGGAGAAAAAAAAATATCACGTGATCATAAAACCCATACCTTCTTGGCAACTTGCAGGTCTTTAATGAGGTCATGCTCTCCACGGAATAGCTCGAAGATGACCTGCAACAGACAAACCGGACTCATACGGCACCACACGAAAGTCCAGGCCACCCTTGCATATAAAACCACCTGGTTCAATAAAGGATACTGTTACTACTATTACTTAGGGGCCGTCCATAAATGACGTCACGCAACTGGGGGGGGGGGGTCAGATTTTTGTGACGATGTGTGACAAGGGGGGGGGGTTTAGAAATGTGGCGTCACATCAAAATGCGCAACTTTAAATAAATATAGAATTGTTATAACAACACTAAGTGTTATAACAACACTAAGTGTTATAACAACACTAAGTGTTATAACAACACTAATTGTTATAACAACACTCCTACAACATCAGAGTGCAGTGCCACATTAAATAGGCACTACAATGACAATACTTTACAGCGATTCGAAGCATGTTTTATTTTCAAAATGGAAATATGGTTTTGGAGGGGGGGGGGGCAGAGCTTTGTGACGTCATATTTGAGGGGGGGGGTCTGACTTTTTGTGACGTCGTGTGACAAGGGGGGGGGGAGGGTCAAAAATCGTCCAAAATCTCGTGACGTCATTTATGGACTGCCCCTTAACTACAACTGCTACAGTACTACATAGGACATATACGTGACGCTTCACACTGCAGGGTCGTAGCATGCGTCAATTAGGTTAAATGCCAAGGCCAGTTGCCAACACTGCAGGTGATTATTGAACTGGCTTTGCATGATGCATTGTCGGCGTAGATGCAGCTGCTAGTGGCTGTGCACACCCGTAAGCCAGGGTTGTGTTTGGTGCATCACAAAGAAGCTACGCGGCACTCCCAGTCCGTAGGGCTACGACTAAGATGCCAACGGGAGGTCAGTACACGGGCGTAGGTTTGACTAACTGCTCGTGCGAATTATAAGCATCAACTCCGGCACGCTTCCACTCACCCCGCTTCGCACTGCGGTTTTCTTCACCGCGCGCAAAAGTACCCGACAAAGAAGTTGACCAACGCTCAAAGCACGAGCCTCCCGAAGGAGTCTTGAGCCTCGAACAGAGGAGTGTCCGGGTGAGAGAGAGAGAGGGGGTCTCATTGGCTGAAGCGGAGGCTTTGCGTTTTTTTGCGGCTTACTGCAGGGGTTAGCGGTTGGAGCCCCGTGGCTGCACTGGTTAATACTGTGCAGGTTACATCAATCGCACGAGTATGCGCCGCCTGTTACACAGTGGATGGTTAAGAAATCCTGCGACGTTATCCGAAGGAAGAGAAAGTCACGTGTCTTGTTCCGGAGTCATGGTCCAAATGTGAAAAATTACACGAAAATTATTCAATTGTCATCAACAGCAATCGTCATCTCCGACTGCACACTTTAGCGGGACCCTCCTGAAGAAAGCGTCTTGAAACTCAGCAAGGCTTCCCTGGCTAAATAATTGTTAACAATAACAATGATACAAAAAATAAACGAGAGATGGGAAGGAGCACTCGGTTTGCTGTGCCAAGTCCTCGCAGGGCAAGGTGCTGGGGGACGTACCTCCTGACGCTTCAGCTCGTGGCCACTCAGCTGCTGGCAGGCGGCCGCGTCCGTGAACGTCTCGCACCAGAGGCGCCCGTCGTGACGCTTGGCGGCCGAAGGCCCAGCTCTGGCCTCTGCACTGACACGGGCCGCGAGCCTGCGAGAGCCGGCAGAGGGCTGCTGGCTCGGGCCTTCCCCAAACCGGACGCTGGCAGAACGCTGCACGGGGGAAAGGTGGCGTGAAGGACAATGGACAGGCAGAGAGAGAGAGACAGAGACACGGGGAGTCATCTTCAAGGGTTGGTGACTTCGGGTTAATAGGGAGTGCTACACATAAAGGACCAGTGTATGGTATGTCGCCACAAGTGTAGGAGCCATCCTGCTTTGAGGTGGAACGCTGGCACAAATCAAGTCAAAGCTTTCGTGCAGTTCTCTATTTTTCACAATTATTATAGTGCGAGGCTCTCCCGATTGCACTATGTTTCACATCCCACGAATATGTTGTGCAGCAGTTTTACAGAAGGAGGGGGCGATGTTGCTATTTGGCTTTACCCGATGGGGTAATTTGCGTACATTTTCAAATTTTTTGAATATTTAAACCGGGGCACCGGCACACACAGCCGACTGTTTTCCAAATAATATCTCCGGATCAATAACGTCCACAGTGAAGCAGACGGCTTGTATCTTTCCAACCAACTAACTCGGCGTTAACCGGGAGGGCCGCTACAACACTTGGTAGACAAGCGGTACGGCTCAGCCATGTCGCCGCTTTGGGGCGACACGGTGGTCGACTTGTTAACTACCTCGTCTGTTATACAGGAGGTTGTGGGTTCGATCCTGACCCTGATGTCTGCTGTATGTTTGGAGTTTACATGTTTCTCTCCCCGGTTTTTCCCTCCACGTTTAGAATCAACGTGCGTTTAGGAGTGTTTGGCCGCTCTACATTTCCACGCGATGAGCCACTTCGTCGGGCGATCACTTGTGAGGGTCAGGTCGCTTTTGAAAAAAATAACTATATCGCTCAGTGGGACTTTACCTGGTAAAAATGTTTGTTTAAGTTTTTTGTTCGAGGAAGCCGTCACCCCACGAGGCCGCAGCGCTGCCTGGCGAGGAGGTACCTGGAGGGGCTTTCCGAGCGTCCGTGCAGCCGAGCGCATGGGCGAGATGAGGCTGGCGAAGGACGAGCGGCTTTGGGGTCTGACGCGCTTGTTGCTCGGCTCCTGATGGGGACGGACACCACCATTAGACACGACAGCACTTGACTTCCAGCTGGCCAGGCCCCACTGTGTTAGGGAGCTCTGTTGCATATTCTTGGTTCTTTCGGTAAAGTCACGGAGATAGAAAATAAAAATTAAATACAATTTGAATTAAAATATCATTTAATTTTTCATTTCAATGTATTTTTTATTTTAATTTCCTATCTACGTGACTTTACCGAAAGAACCAAGAATATGAATTCCTGCAGTCACGCAAGTTTTAAGTAAAAAATTTAGCTCTGTTGCAGTGTCGGCGGCTACAGGACATTTCAGTTACTTCGAGTCACGTAGAAAGCCGTAGCCTTGCCCAGAGACCCACAGACACAGACTAAGAAGCCTCGCGTTACGAGGACGACCGCAGCCTAAGCCTGCGTGCAGTGGCGGTAGCTACAGCACATTGCAGGGTGGCATTGTGAAAACTTACAAGAGCAAAAACAAAAACTGAGTATTTACATGAAACATGCAAAAAAATTGCTGCAAACAGGACAAACGATTAATATGTCTTAAATACACATTGTAAACTGCAGTAAGATGTAAATAAACCAAATATACAGCCTAGCACTTTTAAATTAATTACTTTTTTTTACCGCGACACAGAGGCAGAGCCACTGTACTGGGCTGGAGCAACGGGACGCAGTTATATTACACAGCCAGTGGCTGTCAAATCTCAAAGTTCAAATCTCAAATCTGACTGTCCGCCTGATGATGCTAGTTGTAATTACTGGCGAAACGTTGTACTCAGATTGTTAATGTTGTGGATTTGCTCTCCACGTTCTGTTTATATGACAAACATTACTAATTGGCTGCGTCGGGTGGTGGCGGGTTTAACGACACATTTATATTTATGCGATCTAACACAAAAAAAACTATATTATGGATCAGTCCTCACCATCATTACGAACACCATCAAAACATCCACCACAATAACCGGCACCATATGGTTATCGGTACCAGACTCGTAGTCATCAACGATGTACAAAATGGTATTTCATTTAATTTTTAACCTCCAATAATAATCCCACTCACTTTATTTTAATCACCGCAAGAATTATTGTCGAAAAAAATCCTAGAGATTGTGCCACATAAGCCAATCCTAATGGCTCCCTGTGGTCCGTAACGTTGTGTTCGCCAGCACTTTCAATTCGTTTGTAAATTTAGGAAATGGCTACGTGAAAAGTCAGCAAAGACAACAGAGAGAGTTGTGAGTCGGGGTCCAGCCAGCGCGGAGGTTCCATACGAACTCTGGCTCACCACACAACCCCGGCATGTGTGCACGGAGAATACTCGTGCGCTTTCAACGGAGCACCGATGGGAAATGGCCCGCACTCTCACAAGCAGAAAATGGCCAGGAAACAATGAAGCCATTAATATATTTTGATTTAAAGCTTTCGTGACTGCAGTAATTCATATTCTTAGTTCTTTAGGTAAAGTCACGTTGAAGGGAAACAATAAAATAATAAAAAATATATAAAACAATAATATATATTTTATTATTTTATTGTTTCCCTTCAACGTAACTTTACCGAAATAACTAAGAATATAGCCATTAATATACTTTTCCGGTATTTAAACTTTTGCTGTGCACAATTTCATCTTCTTGGTTCTTTCGGTAAAGGCACGTAGAAGGGAAATAATAAAATAATAAAATTAAAACATAATTAAATATTATACTTTATTATTATAATATTTATTATTATAATAAAATATTTTATTTTATTAATATGTTTTATTGTTATTATTTTATTTATTCCCTTCTACGTGACTTTACCGAAAGAACCAAGACGATGAAGCCATGCAGTCACGAAAGCTTTAAATCGAAATTTGCACAATTTGTTTTGAAGAAGGTGAAGAAGAAGTGACGAAGGTGTAGAAGGTGAAGGTTAAGAAGGTCAAGAAGAAAGTGAAGAAGGTGAAGAAGGTGAAGGTTAAGAAGGTCAAGAAGAAAGTGAAGAAGGTGAAGAAGGTGAAGGTTAAGAAGGTCAAGAAGAAAGTGAAGAAGGTGAAGAAGGTGAAGGTTAAGAAGGTCAATAAGAAAGTGAAGAAGGTGAAGAAGGTGAAGGTTAAGAAGGTCAAGAAGAAAGTGAAGAAGAAAGTGAAGGTGAGGAAAAACGTGAAGAAGGTGAAGAAGAAAAAAATGAAGAAGGTGAAGGTCTAAGAAGGTGAGAAAGATGAAGGAAACACAGGGGCAAAATACAGCTAAGGACGGGGCAAGCGTGAAAACTCGCGCAAGAAAGATAAACAAGTTGGTTCCATTCTAGATTTGAAGCTTTCGTGACTGCAAGGATTCATACTCTTTGCTTCTATTCGGTAAAGTCACGTAGGTAAAAAATAAAACAAAAATCACGACGTTTCGGCCACAACACAAGCGGCCTTCATCAGTTCCAGCGCTCGGCGTGGCATTTGAGGCGAAATTCTGCCGAGAATTGACATCGAACAATCGCGCCTTCTGTTGATTTCGGTACCGCTCCGTTCGCGTTGTTTAATGTGCTTAAGCGTGAACAAAAAAAAGGAAAAATGCGTTTGTGTAGATCTTTGACACGGATTAAGGCACGTGAGGTGCACGAAGCGTTTGACCCAGACTTTGTTTCAGCAGCTAAGGCCTCATTGAGCTCAAAAGCGGCACCGTTAGAAGGACGATCGCAGCCCAAGATCGTCGGCTAGCGGCGGCAGTTACAGGACACCACAGCGACGCAGAGTTACACAGAGAGCCATAGAGTTACATAGAGATCCGTAATGTTGCATAGAGGTCTGTAGAGTTACATAGTCTCACAGACTCAGAGTCAGACTTTTGCTTCTGCCGGTAAGGCCCCATTGAGCTAAGCGGCACTGTTGCAAGGACGATCACAGCCCAAGACCGTGGGCAGGCGTTGCGGTCACAGGACATTGCAGGGTGGCAATTTCCAATATAAACAGGGAAAAAAACAAAAGATGTTCACGTACGAAATTTGTAAAGTCTTACCGATGAATAAATGGACTGCACAAAACCGTAAAGTGGACGAGCTCGGGAGAAGTGGCAACGTGACAGGGGCGTCACAAACCTGTAGCGTGACCTTGTGTTTAAAGGGGGCAACGCATACAAAAAAAATCAGGCGGGGGGGGGGGGGTTGTGGGGTGGGTGGGATGTTGGCACCAGCGTCTTGTCGGTAGAATTGTACCCGAGAGTTTAATTCGTCTGGATTGTTTAACTGTAGAGGCGTTATCCATTAGGAAAAAGATGGACCAAAGGAGTGAAGCGACAGAGGCAATTGGAACATCACGGGCAGCAAGCCAACAGCAAAACCATGACACTGCGAGATAATCTGAGGCCATTGCCAACAAGACATGGATGGACCCAGTGGCCTCCACAGGTGGAAATTATTGAAACTGTGAAAGAGTTACATCAACTAGTTGCCGGGTACGGGGCTAGTCGTATCGCATCTTCGTGGCGTTGTGCCATCATGGTTTTTTAACTACCTTGCGTGTTATACAGGAGGTCGTGGGTTGGATCCCCGTGGTTACGTGGATTTTGCGTGGATTTTTCTCCGGGTCCTCCGGTTTTTCCCCTAGACGTTTAAAAACATGGGTTTAAGAGTATTTGGTTCTTATAAATTCCCACGTTGACAAAGCCACTTTCAGTTGAGCCATCACTTGCGGCCAGGTCGCTTCTGAAAAATAGCTACATAGCTCAGTGGGGCCTTACCTGGTAAAATGAAAAGTTTAGTTAATGCGTGCTGTTTTTCCCCCTAATGAGGAATCTGTGTTTTGGTGTAATTGTGTAATTTTAAAACGGTGTGCGTGCACGGGAGAGCGAGCAACTTTTACAGATTTTTTTGCGTGCAGTTTCTTATCCGATCGCTGCATCTGCATCCTTTATCCGCCACTGGGGCAATTATAACCGCAGTGGTGCAACTTGCAGAAGGGGGCCGGGGGGGGGACCCCCCTCCCCCCTCGTTTTGCTCCCTCGGTGTGACATATATAATTAAAAAAGGCAAAGCGGAAAGTAGCAAGTTTTGCCACTCAGCTTCAACCGTATCGACACATGATCATGCTGCGGTGCAGGACGTCTGACTCATACAGTTACGACTGTATTGCTTAACAAGTAGAATGTTGTTGCCAATAACAAAAACCCATATCTGTGTTTGGGTTTGGAGACCTGGTTAGCTCCATCGAAGTCGGGTGGTGGAGGGTTAATGCGCAAGACGTTTGCCATAAAACGACCACCACGTGGCCTAACCCAACAATGAATACGGTTTGAGTGCAATCCTCCTTCAAGTGTGAAAAAAGTGTGCAAAGCAGAAACGATGATGATCAGTGTGAAACTGAGCACAGGGAGCAAAATACCCTGAACACCCACGCCTTTCCGATCGCCAGGGCAAATACATAAGCAACACCAGTGCCGGAGTAAGCTAGTGTGGGGCCTGTAGCATATGTTTTGTGAAGGGGCCCTAAAATAAAAAAAGTAAATATTAAAACACGTAATTTTTTACTTGCACAGTAAAGTTATTGTATTTTTCATTTGCTGTACAGCCAAATAATACGACAAATCGCTAAGCTTGAATACCCAGTCGTTCATAAAAGTTGAAGGCAGTATAGTACTATAGTAATAGAGCAAGTGCAGAATCACTGAACCGGAATTGACAGCTTGAAAGCATTTAGCGTGGGGCCCTTGAAAGTGCGGGGCCCATAGTATATGCTACTTTTGATACTAGTGTAGTGGAGTAAACAATACGCATAGGAATTGGCCACATACAGTACATACAGATGGACATGGAGTACGGGTCACATGAGGTCGAACAGGTGGTCGAGTCAAGGGTGGCGTAAACAACCCGAAGTAATTAAGGGAGTCGTGGCACGAGGGCTGTGATTGGTCGAGAGGCTGTTAGTGTTAAGTGGTGGCGTCTGGATGTCTGACGGAGGGGACAGGTGCGAGCTGGCGGAAAACGGCCAGCGAGCCACGTGGCAATTAATTAAGGCTAATGCGAAAG